TGGCTGGGAGGGGCACTGGGAGCCCTCAGCTGATTGCGTCTGAGGAGTGGTGGTGCGTTGGGGAGGGGAGAAGCCCCGTCCCTGCTCCTGAGCGCTGTTCAAGCGCCTTGCAGTGCCATAGTCCAGTAGAGAAGCCCACAGGCGCTTTGTGGTTGTGTTAGGTGCCTTCCATGGGCTCTCAGCCAAAACTGACTGGGGTGGAATTTCTGCTTCTTCCCACTGGGACACCCAAAGACCTGGCTATGGGGGAGTCATAGAATCAGAAGAACTTTTCTTTATGCACCCTCTCCACGCCACTCATGCTTTTCATAGAATCATAGAATAATAGGACTGGAAGGGACCTCGAGAGGTCATCGAGTCCAGCCCCCCGCCCTCAAGGCAGGATCAAGCTCTGTCTACACCATCCCTGACAGATGTCTATCTAACCTGTTCTTAAATATCTCCAGAGAGGGAGATTCCACCACCTCCCTTGGCAATTTATTCCAATATTTGACCACCCTGACAGTTAGGAATTTTTTCCTAATGTCCAATCTAAACCTCCCCTGCTGCACTTTAAGCCCATTACTCCTTGTCCTGTCCTCAGAAACCAAGAGGAACAAATTTTCTCCTTCCTCCTTGTGACACCCTTTTAGATATTTGAAAACCGCTATCATGTCCCCCCTTAATCTTCTTTTTTCCAAACTAAACAAGCCCAGTTCATGAAGCCTGGCTTCATAGGTCATGTTCTCTAAACCTTTAATCATTCTTGTTGCTCTTCTCTGTACCCTTTCCAATTTCTCCACATCTTTCTTGAAATGTGGCGCCCAGAACTGGACACAGTACTCCAGCTGAGGCCTAACTAGTGCAGAGTAGAGCGGCAGAATGACTTCACGAGTTTTGCTTACAACACACCTGTTGATACAACCTAGAATCATATTTGCTTTTTTTGCAACAGCATCACACTGTTGACTCATATTCAACTTGTGGTCCACTATGACCCCTAGATCCCTTTCTGCCATGCTCCTTCCTAGACAGTCGCTTCCCATCTTGTATGTATGGAACTGATTGTTCCTTCCTAAGTGGAGCACTTTGCATTTCTCTTTATTAAACCTCATCCTGTTTACCTCTGACCATTTCTCTAACTTGCTAAGGTCATTTTGAATTATGTCCCTATCCTCCAAAGAAGTTGCAACCCCACCCAGTTTGGTATCATCTGCAAACTTAATAAGCGTACTCTCTATCCCAATATCTACATCATTGATGAAGATATTGAATAGTACGGGTCCCAAAACAGACCCTTGCGGAACTCCACTTGTTATCCCTTTCCAGCAGGATTTAGAACCGTTAACAACAACTCTCTGACTACGGTTATCCAGCCAATTATGCACCCACCTTATCGTGGCCCTATCTAAGTTATATTTGCCTAGTTTATCAATAAGAATATCATGCGAGACCGTATCAAATGCCTTACTAAAGTCTAGGTATATGACATCCACCGCTTCTCCCTTATCCACAAGGCTCGTTATCTTATCAAAGAAAGCTATCAGATTAGTTTGGCATGACTTGTTCTTCACAAACCCATGCTGGCTATTCCCTATCACTTTATTACCTTCCAAGTGTTTGCATATGATTTCCTTAATTACCTGCTCCATTATCTTCCCTGGGACAGACGTTAAACTGACCGGTCTGTAGTTTCCTGGGTTGTTCTTATTCCCCTTTTTATAGATGGGCACAATATTTGCCCTTTTCCAGTCTTCTGGAATCTCCCCTGTCTGCCATGATTTTTCAAAGATCATAGCTAAAGGCTCAGATACCTCCTCTATCAGCTCCTTGAGTATCCTGGGATGCATTTCATCAGGACCTGGTGACTTGCTGACATCTAACTTTCCTACGTGATTTTTAACTTGTTCTTTGTGTATCTTATCTTCTAAACTTACCCTCTCTCTGCTTGTATTCACTACGTTAGGCACACCTCCAGACTTCTCGGTGAAGACCGAAACAAAGAAGTCATTGAGCATCTCCGCCATTTCCAAGTTCCCTGTTACTGCTTCTCCCTCCTCGCTAAGCAGTGGGCCTACCCTGTCCTTGGTCTTCCTCTTGCTTTTAATGTATTTATAAAAGGTCTTCTTGTTTCCCTTTATGCCTGTAGCTAGTTTGATCTCATTTTGTGCCTTTGCCTTTCTAATCTTGCCCCTGCATTCCCGTGTTGCTTGCCTATATTCATCCTTTGTTAGTTGTCACCTTCCTGCCCATGGTTGTGTGTGTTCCTGTCCCCCCCTTCCCCCGTCCTACACCCCCACCCCGTCTTACCATTGTATTTTCCCGGGGTCTGCCCCTCTCTGCTTTGGGTAGCAGGCTCTGCTGCCTCCCCCTTGTTCCCAGCTTGGTGACTCTTGGTAGTAGCCACACAGGATGTGTGTTTGGTGTGGGTGGGTTTTTTGGGGTTTTTTTGTTTTGTTTTTGGGTTTTTGCTTTTTTGCTCGACACATTTTTAGCCCATGTGTTTGGTATTTTTTCGGGAGTCCATCTGGCAACCCGAAGCATAAGGCCCTTACCTTGTCCTTTGTGGTTGATCTCCTTCCCCTCCACTGCCTTCTTCACCAGGTTATGAAGGAAATCATTCTCAGCTGTTACCCTAAAACACAACAGAAGCACATGGGGAAGGGAGGTGGGCCTCATTTCCTTCCAGCTAGGGAGGAGTATGTGGGGAATCCCATACTCTCCCCCCACAGAAAGGGATTTGGGAACAGGAGCATGTGAACTTGTACAGTAAGTGGCTCTGTGAGCTATTGTGGTGCACATGAATCTTCCACTCTAGGGCTGTGTCTACACTGGCATGATTTTCCGGAAATGCTTTTAACGGAAAACTTTTCCGTTAAAAGCATTTTCGCGACAGAGCATCTAGATTGGCATGGACGCTTTTCCGCAAAAGCACTTTTTGCGGAAAAGCGTCCATGCCAATCTAGACAAACTCTTCCGCAAAAAAGCCCCAATCGCTATTTTCGTGATCGGGGCTTTTTTGCGGAAAACAAATCTGAGCTGTCTACACTGGCCCTTTTGCGCAAAAGCTTTGCACAAAAGAGACTTTTGCCTGAACGGGAGCAGCATAGTATTTCCGCAAGAAGCACTGATTTCTTACAGTAGGAAGTCAGTGCTGTTGCAGAAATTCAAGTGACCAGTGTAGACAGCTGGCAAGTTTTTCCGGAAAAGCGGCTGATTTTCCGGAAAAACTGGCGAGTCTAGACACAGCCTGGGGGGGTATGCACTCAAGTCAGAGATTTCTGACCAGCACCCGTTCTGGTCACACATGCACCCAGATTGTTCTCCTGCCTCCAATAAGAGGCATAAGGAGCAGGGCTGCCCTGGTCCCCTCTGTCACGTTACTGGATTTTAAGGGGAGCAGCCAGATCACTGCTGCACCCATGGGGGGGGTATTTGCCCCAAAGTGTATACAAAGGGGGCCATGTCACATGAAAGCTTCTGTTCTACTGATTCTGTGTGTGCTATTCGTGTACTTGTGTAATATCTGTGTGGGGGGTTATAAACATGCACTCTGGGTGGATGCTGGACCATTCTCTCTGGCTGAGCAATGGGCAAGGAATGCTCCGCCAATGGCTATGCTAGTTAGCAAGGGGACAATGAGGCTCTAGGTGCCAATTCACCCCTCAGGAATGTGACTGATGCCTGCAGACCAGCCAGAACAATGATTGCTGACTTTGGACACAAGGATAGGTCAGTGGACCATGTGACCTGCAGTAACCTGCTCTGGCCAGGAGAGGTCTATAAGTGCCATGTGGCACCCTCCATCTGGTCTTGAGTTCAACTACTGATCCCAGATGCAACCTTGCAGGGAACAACGAGCGGGAAAGAACTGTGGACCCATCCTGACATAGAATGTACACCAGAGACTTTTAAGCCAGCAGTTATAACATCTCTGCTACGAGCCTGCATCGAATCTCCCGGTTCTCGATGCATGTAATGTATGATCCCTTAACTACCTTACTCTCGTGCTTTTCTTTCTTTTAGTAATAAACATTTAGATTGTAGATTCTAAAGGACTGGCTCAGCGTGATTTGTGGGTAAGATCCAGAGTGTAAATTGATCGGGACCTGTGGTTGGTTTCTTGGGACCAGAAGAACCCATTCAGGGTAGGTGAGATTGGGCTCTATAACCCCTCACCTGGGTGTTAGGCCTGGGGCTGACTGTGGCACTGGAAGAGCTGGGGTATCAGAGGGGTTTTGCTCATGAGGCTTCTGGCTGGCCAGATTGGAAGCTGGAGCGCTCGGTGTGACTGGCTCGTGGCCTATTTGGGAAGGTCTCCAGTCTGGGGCTGTAAGGAGCCCCGAGTTTGAGCAATTTGTCCTGAGCGGATGCCCTCAGCCTTTTATGGACCTAACCTCCATGAAATTATCTAGCTTCTCTTTAAACTCTGTTCTAGTCCTAGCCTTCACAGCCTCCTCTGGCAAGGAGTTCCACAGGTTGACTACACGCTGTGTGAAGAAGAACTTTCTTTTATTAGTTTTAAACCTGCTACCCATTAATTTCATTTGGTGTCCTCTGATCCTTATATTATGGGAACAAGTAAATAACTTTTCTTTATTCACCCTCTCCACACCACTCAGCTAGGTCTACACTCGCGGCTTCTTGCGTAAGTACAGCCATTCTTGCACAAGAATCCAGAGCATCCAGACTGATTGCCTGCTCTTGCGCAAGGAAATTTACAGTATGGCATGGCAAGAGGGCTCCTTGCGCAAGAGCTATGCTCTTTAACAGGTGTAAGCCCTCTTACGCAGGAGCTCTTGCACAAGAGGGCAGTGTGGACACTCAGCAGGGATTTCTTGCGCAAGAAAGCCTTATGGCTAAAATGGCCGTCAGAGCTTTCTTGCACAAGAGAGCATCCATGGATGCTCGTGCACAAAAGCACATGCTCTTGCACAAAAGCACAGCTCCCACATGGCAGTGTGGACGTTTTCTTGCGCAAGACTTCTTACACAAGAACCCTTGCACAACATTTTCTTGTGCAAGAAGCTGCCAGTGTGTACATAGTCCTCATGATTTTATATACTTTTATCATATCCCCCCTCAGTCTCCTCTTTTCCAAACTGAAAAGTTCCACTCGCTTTAACCTCTCCTCATAGGGAACCCATTCCAAACCCCTAATCATTTTAGTTGCCCTTTTCTAATGCCAAAATATCTTCTCTTTTTTTTTTCTGAGCTGAGGAGACCACATCTGTACGCAGTATTCAAGATGTGGGCACACAATAGTTTTATACAGGGGCAGTAAGATATTCTGTTTTATATTCTACCCCTTTTAAATAATTCATAACTTCTCTAGGGGCATTAGCTTGCGTTCTACCAAGGACAATCTTCCAGTGGTATTTTCTGTCCACGGCTGTAAACCAATGTGGCAGGCACAGGGTCTGCCTAGGCGTTGGATCAGGGCCATGAGAAAGGATCGGTCCCGATGTGGTGATGCTAGGACCAGCCTCTTTGACCGTTCCCCTCCCCATTTGTAGGCCTGCTGTAGACACCTCCGGGTTAGGGAGATATTTTTCCCCTGGCAGGGGGAGTGGGGAGCGTGGGAATTTAAAGGCGCAGTGTCTTTTTTTTTTCTTTGCTCAACAGAATTTTTTCCCGACGTGGGAGGGAAGGGGGAACAAGTGGGGAGGAGTTTGGTATTTTTTGTTAAACCACCTGGCAACCTAGTGAATGCCATCACCGAGGAGAAAAGGAGAAAACCCTCTATCATATCCCCCCTTAGTCTCCAGTTTTCTAAACTGACAAGTCCCAGTCTTTTTAATCTCTCTTCATATGGGACCCATTCCAAACCCCTTATCATTTTTGTTGCCCTTTTCTGAACCTTTTCCTCATAATAACGATATGGTGATTTTAAAATGTTGCAAGATGGTGAAAGAATGAAAGAGCAAATACATGTACTGTAATGATAATGCTAGGTTCTGAAATTATGTATTGCTCAAAAAGTCATTTTTAGAGCTAGGCCACAAATGTATTATAATGATTACTTTGGTGACTTTAATTTCTGTCATGATGTTCAAGTGGGAAAAAAGGTAATATTCTCAGGATGCTATAGACCATGAAAATAGACCGTATCTGTATCTATTATAGCTGAATTAGAGTTAGTAGATGTCCTCCGGAAAAGGGCGCTTTTTCCAGAGGATCGGGGCCAGTGTAGACGCTCTTTTCCGGCTTTTCTAAAAGCCGGAAAAAAGCGGCGGACATTTTTATTTAAATGCCGCGGGGGATATTTAAATCCCCCGCAGATTTCCCTATTACGATCTGAAAAATTAGCATGCCCCTTCCGGAAAAGGGGCCAATGTAGACAAGCCCATTCTGTCTTATGTTCTATCCCTTTCTTAATAATGCCTAACATCCTATTAGCTTTTTTGACTGCCATTGCACACTGCATGGACATTTTCAGAGAACTATCCACGATAATTCCAAGATCTCTTTTCTGATTAGGTGTAGCTAAATTAGCCCCCATACTATTGTATGTATTGTTGGGGTTATTGTTTCCAATGTGCATTGCTTTACACTTATCCACATTACATTTCATTTGCCATTTTGTTGCCCAATCACTCAGTTTGTTGAGATCTTTTTGAAGTTCTTCACAGTCTGCTTTGGTCTTAACTAGCTTGAACAGTTTAGTATCGTCTACAAACTTTGCCACCTCACTGCTTACCCCTTTCTCTAGATCGTTTATGAGTAAGTTGAATAGGATTGGTCCTAGGACTGACCCTTGGGGAACACCACTAGTTATACCGCTCCAGTCTGAAAATTTACCACTTATTCCTACCCTTTGTTTCCTGACATTTAACCAGTTCTTAATCCATGGATGGATCTTCCCTCTTATCCCATGACAATGTAATTTACACAAGAGTCTTTGGTGAGGGACCTTGTCAAAGGCTTTCTGAAAATCTAAGTATACTATCTACTGGATCCCCCTTGTCCACATGTTTGTTAACCCCTTCAAAGAACTCTAGGGCTATGTCTACACTCGTGGCTTCGTGCATCAGAAGTATGCAAATGAGGCTTAGTGATATTCCACGCTTAGCCTCATTTGCATACCTAATGAGCTGTCATTTGCAGAAGAGGCTCTTGCGCCAGAAGGAGCTGTCTACCCTGCCCCTTCTTGCACAAGAAAAACCCTCTTGCGCAATGCCATTATTCCTGAAAATAATCGGCATAACAGCATTGTGCAAGAGGGTTTTTCTTGCGCAACAGGGGGTGGTGTAGACAGCTCCTTCTGGCGCAAGAGCCTCTTCTGCAAATGACAGCTCATTAGGTATGCAAATGAGGCTTAGTGATATTCCACGCTTAGCCTCATTTGCATACTTCTGATGCACGAAGCCACGAGTGTAGACATAGCCTAATAGATTAGTAAGACACATGATTTCCCTTTACAGAAACCATGCTGACTTTTGCCCAACAAATGATGTTCTTCTATGTGTCTGACAATTTTATTCTTTACTATTGTTTTAACTAATTTGCCCAGAACTGACATTAGACTTACCGATCTGTAATTGCCAGGATCGCCTCTAGAGCCCTTTTTAAATATTGGTGTTATATTAGCTGTCTTCCAGTCTTTGGGTACAGAAGCTGATTTAAAGGATAGGATACAAACCACAGTAAATAGTTCCTCAATTTCATGTTTGAGTTTTCAGAACCATCTGGTCCCGGTGATTTGTTACTGCTAAATTTTTCTGGTAGCTTAAAAGCTGGTTCCTCCCAGCACCGTCTCTGTGAGGGGGTAGGGGCGCATCAGGAAATTGGCAATGCTTCCACCTTTGAAACGTAGCAAGAGTGAGGGTCTTGCTACATTTCAGAAGCAGAAACGCCTTGAGTGCAGGGGGCCAATGGGGAACTCAAGCAGTCCCCGGCTGGCCCTGCACTCCCTGCCTTTGAACCCCCTCGGGGGGGAGACAGCTCTTGTACCTTACAAAAGCAGGGAGTGCAGGGCCAGTGGGGGACTGCTTGAGTCTCCCGCTTGCCCCCTGCACCCACAGCATTTCTGCTTCTGAAATGTAGCAAGAGCTCTCTCTTCCCCCTCCCTCCCGAGGGGGCTCTTTTACAGTTCAGAAGCAGGGAGTGCGGGGCCAGTGGGGGACTGCTTGAGTTCCCCGTTGGCCCTGTGCTCCCCACGGCGCTTCTGCCTTTGAAATGTAGCAAGAGCCCTGCTGGTTCTTGCTAAATTTCAAAGGCAGAAGTGCCCTTATCGACTAATTGAATAGTCAATGCAAATTGCATCAACTATTCGATTAGCTAATTACTCTAAACTTAACATCCTTACTAATGAGTGAAAGTCACCACAAAGGATGCGAGGGAGATTCCCACACTTGAACTGTTCTCTTTAGGTGACAAATCTGAGGAACTGTCCCAGTCTGAGATGTCAATGAAGGAGGATTTGGAACAAATTGATCAATAAAAGAGTACTAAGTCATCAGGACCAGATGGAACTCTCCCAAGAGTTTGGAAGGAACTCAAAGAAAAATAGCAGAACATTAACTGTGGAATGTAATCTATCATTTAAATTAGCTTCTGCACCAGATGACTGGAGGATAGCTAATTTTTAAAAATGGCTCCAGAGGTGATCCTGGCAATTAGACTGCTACGCCTAACTTCCTTACCAGACAAACAGTAGAAACTATTTTAAAGATCAGAATTATTAGATACATAGATGAACATGATTTGTTGGGGAAGAGTCACCACAGCTTTTTAAAAGAGAAATCCTGTCTCACCAATCTATTAGAATTCTTCGAGGGAATCAGCAAGCATGTTGACAAGGGGATCCAGCGAATATAATATACTCGGACTTTCAAATGCCTTTGATAATCACTCACCCTTTCCTCAACTGGCACAGCTTCTCATCTACCAGAAGATTGTTTCTTATTGTCTTCTGACTCTGGGAGCAGCATTTAGAGCTCTCTAGTGCCATATTCAAGTTAGACAATCACCTCCTGGAACTCCAGGCATGGCTCTAGGGTGGAATGGTACCATTTGAGAGACAGATCCCATTCTAGGTATCCTAATTCTGGGCAATCCCCCTTGTTGACATCTGGTACTGTAGTCCTTATTGTGCATGTGGGGATATTCCCATCTACAGCAGAGCTGCCTCCTGTTTCTGAACTGCAGGCAGAGGAGGAACTTGAAGTGGATCCACACTGGATCCCAGCTCCCATCTCATCCTCATCCCCTAATGATGCAATTGCTCCTGAACCTAGTCCACCAGCAGCAGAGGACCAACAGTAGAGATGACCAGGAAGCCCCTCCTATGACCACTGGTGGGTCCAGAGCTACTGAGAGACAGATATTAGAAAAAAACTATTTCCTTAGGAAGCTTGTGACAGCTTGCATTAAAGATTCTAATATGAGCAAGTAATAGGATTTGGAAACTTCAGATTACAGGTAAAAAACCCACAAAATTCAATCTATATCCTATACTTATTAACGAGTCTAACAAGTATTTCTCCCCTACTGGTCAGTCTGGGCAGTTGTTCTCCAGTCCAGAGAGCTAGTCTGTATCTGGTTCAGATTAGAAACAAAGGGCTACCTCAATAGATGTTGATTTTCTCAATCTTGGTTGACTTGGAAATAAGATGGGGGTGGGTTTTCAGAGCTAACAGTTTGGAATGTACTGTTCAATATTTTACATAGTTCTTCAAATATTTCCTGTACAAACAAGAGAGTGACCATTATGATCAGCTAGTTCTTAGCTTTTGACAGAGATCCTTCTGGTGAAGTATTGAGAAGCTGGTCAGACATAGGTATAATACGCCTGTCTGGGCATGTGTGTGTCACACAGTGAAACTCACAGCGAGCCTCACAGCCCCTCTCATAGCCAAAAGCATTGAAAAGAAATTGAGAGCTGACCAGGGCAGCCTTGTCCTTAATGCTGTAGATTGGAGGAATGAGTACACACAGGGCACAAACACTTCCCCGAGTCCCCAAACAATGCTGTTTATGAAAAATCTGTCTTAGGTGCACTGGATGTGCATACCCCTAGGATGGAAAATATATGTGCACAAGCACTAGAAGAACAACACAGGAATAACTAGATTGTATCAGACTTGTGATCTGTGTAGTCCGGGGTGGGCAAGATATGGCCCACGGGTTGGATTCGGCACAACAAGTCTTTTGATCTGGCCCGCGCGCCCATCCCTGCAACAGGGAACGGTGCCAGTCAAAGCAGCTAGCTAGTCAATGTTGCTTTCCGTACTGTGGGGAGAAGCGAAGGAGGGAGAGGCTTCAGCATGCTGTCCCCCTCCCCAGCAAAATCTCTCAATTCCTATTGGCTGAAAACCAGCCAGTGGGAACTGAGAGATTTTCCTGAGGCAAGGACAGTTCAGCATAATTCCTCAGCTCCCATTGTCCAGTTTCTGACCAATAAGAGCTGTGAGATTTTGTTGGGGGCAGGGATAGCGCATGAAGCCTCTCCCTCTCTCCTCCCTGCAGGGCAGAGAGCCATATGTATAGCCAGACAGCCTGCCTGAGAGTGCTGCTGGCTGGGACTGCTATGATAAGCACCTCTGTCATGTTACTAGATTTTAGGGGAGCAGCCAGATGACTGTTGCACCAGTGGGGGGGTTGCCCCAAAACATTGATACAAAGGGGGTCATGTGAGGTGTCAAATGAAAGCTTGCTTTCTTCTGATTCTATATATGCTTTTCATATACCTGTATAATGTCTGGGTGTGACGTTATAAATATGTACTCTGTGTCAAAATTGGAATGCTCGGCCTATGGACATGCTAATGAGAAAGTGTCCATGGAACATTAGCCCTCTATAGGCCAAGGACACACCTCAAGAATGGGACTGATACCTAAGGGCTACCAGCAGGGAACACAGGGATAGGCCGCTGGCCAGGTGACCTGCTGCAGCGAAGAAGAGACAAGGAAGGAGGTATATAGGAGCCATGTGGCATCCTCAGCTCAGCTCTTCATCCCAGATGCAGCATTGCAGGGATCAACGAGCCGGAAAGAACTGTGGACCCATCCTGACATGGGCTGTACACCAAGGACATTTAAGCCAGCAGTTATAACATCTCTGCTGCGAGCCTGCATCAAGAACTGGGAGATTCGATGAATGTAATGTATGATACTTTAACAACCTTACTCTCATGCTTTTCTTTCTTTTAGTAATAAACCTTTAGATGTTAGATTCTAAAGGATTGGCTCGCGTGATTTGTGGGTAAGGTCCAGAGTGTAATTTGACCTGGGATCTGTGGCTGGTTTCTTGGAACCGGACAGAACTTGTTCGGGGAAGGTGAGCCTGGGCTCTAAAACCCCTCACCTTTGTATGAGGCCTGGGGCCATTTGGGGCATGGATATTGCTGGGGTATCAGAGGGGTTTTGCTGGTGAGGCTTCTGGCTGGCCAGGCAGGCAGCTGAAGCGCTCTGTGGGACTGATTTGTGGCCAGGTTGGGAAGATCTCCAGTCTGGGGGCTGTAAGGAGCCCCGAATTTCAGCAATTTGCCCTGAGCAGATGCCGATGGCTGTGCCAAGACTCGGCCCGGTCCATCACAACCTCCCAGCTAGAGCATGCGCCCTAGCCCCTCCCTCTTTCAGTCTAATTTAATACCCTCTTCTTGTGCTCATCTTCTCCTGGTTGTGGGCAGTGTCTCCTTCCACCCAAGAGAGGGAGACTGTCAGTTGATCCAAAAATGCTCCCCTTTGGCAGCTGAGTTCTTCTCCCATGAATGGAAAGTCCTGCCTGTCTCAACCCAGCCCTTCTACCCCAGCCTTTGCAGCCCCCCTCCGTCTCTGCTCACAAGGGCTGGCTTTACTCACAGGTGCACAGGAATGAAATGCTGCTTGTCCTCATCACTCTCACATTTTCCCTTGATGATTTCTGTGATGTCCATCACTGTAAGAGACAAGGGACAGCAGTCTATGGTCACAGTGTCCTTTGGACAACCCTGAGCCAACCCATAAGGCATAATAAGCACCATCTCCAAATCAACGTGAGCTTTCAAGGGTAAAGAGCAACTCAAGACAGCCAGACACTACAGAGCAACTATTCTCATTTCCAAACCATACAAAAGAACCAGCAAAAAATCCACCTTCACGGATGGAGGATGTCAGGCTGAGAAACGTAGGGAGGAGACAGTAGAAGGAATGGGAAGAAATGCACAGGAAATCGTGGCTGAATCCCAGTAAAAGTTGCTTGCCAAGGAGAACGCCTCACTTAGGCCTTTTCATAGAAACTTAGGGCTGGAAGAGACCTCAGGAGGTCACTGAGTCCAACCCCCTGTCCAAAGCAGGACCAACCCCAATTACACCTCAAAGTTTTGTCAGTAAAAGTTATGCCACTTTAATTAAAATATTTTAATGAAACCTACTGTTGATCATCTGCACTAGCTCCTTGTGTCAGCTCTTGCACTATGATGGAAAGCAGTGCACTGTGGTAGCTATCCCACTGCGCCACTGGCTGTGGGGGCTTTGGAAAGGGTTTACAATGCCCCATGGAGCAGGTACAATGTCACAGGATACAGATTTCTCAATTCCATTGTTCCAGGGGCCATCCTGGTACATTGTCAGCTGCTTTTCGACAGAGAGTGGTGTGTTTGGGGTAGGGGAGACAGAAGGCTGACCTGAGGTGGAGAGAGTGAAACCCACTGCCCCAAGTTAGCCCTTGGCTTTGCTCAGCACATCAGTCTCTCTAGAAGCAGCCCGCTCTGCCTGCCTGCCTATGGTTCTGTGAGTCCTTCAGAATTCCCCCAAAGCCTCCCTCCTGCCAGGAGAGGCATCCTGAGCGGTTCTCTGAGATATTCCCACTGAGGGATGTCAAAACAGGTCAGCAGTCTCCTTCTCCCACCCTGTGACAGCCACTATGTTTCTAGTACAGCGCAGAGCAGGAGCAGTCGAATGATTTGCTCCTTTGTTCCCCAAATAGAGCAGCTCACTCAGCTGTTGGATACAATGGCAATGAGCTTAAATTGCGGCAAGGGAGGTTTAGGGTGGACAGTGAGAAAAACTTCCTGTCAGAGTGGTTACACATTGGCATAAATTGCCTAAGGAGGTCGGGGAATCTCCATCCCTGGAGATATTTAAGAACAGGTTAGACAAGCATCTAGCAGGGTGATCTAGATGGTGCTTGGTCCTGCCATGAAGGCAGCAGACTGGACTTGATGATCTCTTGAGGTCCCTTCCACTTCTGGTATTTAAGATCTTTGAATGGAGAGGGGCACATGTCTGCAGGGCAGCAGAGATCAAAACACTAAGCAGAGTAGTCATGACCGGTATTGTGGGATACTGGTGGAAGCCAATTATGTAGACAAAACAAACAGTAGTGCCTACATCAGAGATTCCCAACCTTTTTGGGCATACGGACACCTTTTCAATCTATTAAAATTTTACTGACCCTCCTCCCTGCGGGAGGAAAAAAAGAAAAGGAAAAGAAAAGTAAGGATCGGGCCCACCATGGTGGGCCCGATCCTTATTTTTAAACTTTCCACACAGCCTCTGCAGTAGTGTCACAGGCCACCAGGGGCCAGAGGACCACAAGCTGGGAACCACTGGCCTACACTGATGCTTTGTGTCAGTTTAACGTTATGCCACTCCCTGAGGTGGTTTTATTTTGTCTGCAAAACAGCTGAGTTTTGTTACCAAAAGCAGTTTTACAGTGTGTACACTTTCCCATTTTGTCTGCAACAGGCAGCTTTTGCAGACAAAATGTTGTAGTGTAGACAAAGTCTTCGATTTTTTATCATAGAGAGAGATCAGGAAACACCAATGATGGGAACATTTAGAACTAGGACTGGATCATGCATCATATATATAGTAGCCCAATGTCTGAGAGTCTGTAACGCAGAAATGCTGGCTGTTCCCTCTGGGCGGTGCTGTTACTGAAACGCTGGCTGTTCCCTCTGGGGGGCGCTGTTACTGAAACGCTGGCTGTTCCCTCTGGGGGGCGCTGTTACTGAAACGCTGGCTGTTCCCTCTGGGGGGCGCTGTTACTGAAACGCTGGCTGTTCCCTCTGGGGGGCGCTGTTACTGAAACGCTGGCTGTTCCCTCTGGGGGGCGCTGTTACTGAAACGCTGGCTGTTCCCTCTGGGGGGCGCTGTTACTGAAACGCTGGCTGTTCCCTCTGGGGGGCGCTGTTACTGAAACGCTGGCTGTTCCCTCTGGGGGGCGCTGTTACTGAAACGCTGGCTGTTCCCTCTGGGGGGCGCTGTTACTGAAACGCTGGCTGTTCCCTCTGGGGGGCGCTGTTACTGAAACGCTGGCTGTTCCCTCTGGGGGGCGCTGTTACTGAAACGCTGGCTGTTCCCTCTGGGGGGCGCTGTTACTGAAACGCTGGCTGTTCCCTCTGGGGGGCGCTGTTACTGAAACGCTGGCTGTTCCCTCTGGGGGGCGCTGTTACTGAAACGCTGGCTGTTCCCTCTGGGGGGCGCTGTTACTGAAACGCTGGCTGTTCCCTCTGGGCGGCGCTGTTACTGAAACGCTGGCTGTTCCCTCTGGGCGGCGCTGTTACTGAAACGCTGGCTGTTCCCTCTGGGCGGCGCTGTTACTGAAACGCTGGCTGTTCCCTCTGGGCGGCGCTGTTACTGAAACGCTGGCTGTTCCCTCTGGGCGGCGCTGTTACTGAAACGCTGGCTGTTCCCTCTGGGCGGCGCTGTTACTGAAACGCTGGCTGTTCCCTCTGGGCGGCGCTGTTACTGAAACGCTGGCTGTTCCCTCTGGGCGGCGCTGTTACTGAAACGCTGGCTGTTCCCTCTGGGCGGCGCTGTTACTGAAACGCTGGCTGTTCCCTCTGGGCGGCGCTGTTACTGAAACGCTGGCTGTTCCCTCTGGGCGGCGCTGTTACTGAAACGCTGGCTGTTCCCTCTGGGCGGCGCTGTTACTGAAACGCTGGCTGTTCCCTCTGGGCGGCGCTGTTACTGAAACGCTGGCTGTTCCCTCTGGGCGGCGCTGTTACTGAAACGCTGGCTGTTCCCTCTGGGCGGCGCTGTTACTGAAACGCTGGCTGTTCCCTCTGGGCGGCGCTGTTACTGAAACGCTGGCTGTTCCCTCTGGGCGGCGCTGTTACTGAAACGCTGGCTGTTCCCTCTGGGCGGCGCTGTTACTGAAACGCTGGCTGTTCCCTCTGGGCGGCGCTGTTACTGAAACGCTGGCTGTTCCCTCTGGGCGGCGCTGTTACTGAAACGCTGGCTGTTCCCTCTGGGCGGCGCTGTTACTGAAACGCTGGCTGTTCCCTCTGGGCGGCGCTGTTACTGAAACGCTGGCTGTTCCCTCTGGGCGGCGCTGTTACTGAAACGCTGGCTGTTCCCTCTGGGCGGCGCTGTTACTGAAACGCTGGCTGTTCCCTCTGGGCGGCGCTGTTACTGAAACGCTGGCTGTTCCCTCTGGGCGGCGCTGTTACTGAAACGCTGGCTGTTCCCTCTGGGCGGCGCTGTTACTGAAACGCTGGCTGTTCCCTCTGGGCGGCGCTGTTACTGAAACGCTGGCTGTTCCCTCTGGGCGGCGCTGTTACTGAAACGCTGGCTGTTCCCTCTGGGCGGCGCTGTTACTGAAACGCTGGCTGTTCCCTCTGGGCGGCGCTGTTACTGAAACGCTGGCTGTTCCCTCTGGGCGGCGCTGTTACTGAAACGCTGGCTGTTCCCTCTGGGCGGCGCTGTTACTGAAACGCTGGCTGTTCCCTCTGGGCGGCGCTGTTACTGAAACGCTGGCTGTTCCCTCTGGGCGGCGCTGTTACTGAAACGCTGGCTGTTCCCTCTGGGCGGCGCTGTTACTGAAACGCTGGCTGTTCCCTCTGGGCGGCGCTGTTACTGAAACGCTGGCTGTTCCCTCTGGGCGGCGCTGTTACTGAAACGCTGGCTGTTCCCTCTGGGCGGCGCTGTTACTGAAACGCTGGCTGTTCCCTCTGGGCGGCGCTGTTACTGAAACGCTGGCTGTTCCAGTCAGCGGAGCGCGACAGCGGGAGGCGTAGGGGGGCGGGAAGGTGATGTGCAGCGTGACAGTGGTTCCAGGCCCCGCCCCCTGGCTGTGAACGTCACCGCCCTGCCCCCCTTCGCCTCCTGCCATAGCGCTCAGCTGACTTCTGCGCCGCTCAGCCAGGCTGCCGCATGGGAACGGAAGGTGATGTGCAGCGTGACAGTGGTTCCAGGCCCCGCCCCCTGGCTGTGAACGTCACCGCCCTGCCCCCCTTCGCCTCCTGCCATAGCGCTCAGCTGACTTCTGCGCCGCTCAGCCAGGCTGCCGCATGGGAACAAGTGATGCAAGCGACCATTTGGGCTCCGCAATCCCCATGTACCACGGGGAGTAGTCCCCCAAGTGAGAGGCAGGAGGGGGAGGAGAAGAGAAAGAGAGAGGCAGGAGGTGGAGGAGAGCTGGGGGGGGAGGAGGCAGTAGGAGGAGGAGTGAGAGAGAGAGACAGAGAGAGCTGGAGCAAAAGACCGGAGGCTCAGGAGAGAAGACCTGAATATCCCGTCTTATGACTGGCTAATTAGCTAGTTAGAAAATAACCAACAGACAACACCAGCCCCTAAAAGATGAAGGATGCTTTTCCACATCTGATGTTCTCAGTTTTCCTATTAAACATAGAGGCTGTCTCTACACTGGCACCCTTCTCCGGAAATGCTTAAAACAGAACAGTTTTCTGTTATAAGTATTTCCGGAAAAAGAGGTCTACATTGGCAGGAAGCTTTTCCGGAAAAGCCCTTTTTCCGGAAAAGCGTCCGTGGCCAATGTAGATGCGCTTTTCCGGAAAAAAAGCGCCGATCGTTATTTTCGCGATCTGGGCTTTTTTGCGGAAAAGACTACTGTGCTGTCTACACTGGCTCTTTTCTGGAACAGTTTTCCGGAAAAAGGACTTTTGCCCGAGTGGGAGCAGCATAGTTTTCCCAGAAAAGCAGCTGATTTCT